CAATCGGAGAGTGTTTCCGTGTGTGTAGATGACAGGGCACGGGTTGGGAAAAATTGATCCAGAGGGGGGGGCAATAGCCAACCCCCCCCCCCCCCCCCCCGGGGTTCCTTTTGAAAAGGGAGGGGGGGACAAGGGGAAAAGTAATAAGGGAAACCAAAAAGGGGTACCCCCCCCCCCCCCCCCCCCCCGGGGGGGGTCTCCCGCACTTTCTACAGTTTTCCCAAACGACCCATGGGCACCCCGTCAGGCCCATGGACAGCCCATGGGTAGCCCGTTGGCAGCCCATAGGCGGCCAATGAGAGCCCTTCAACCGATCCATTGTACTCCTAAACAATAGATTATCTGCGTTGGAACGGGCACTATATATAGCGGATCACAACCCTAACGCTAACCCTAGCCCTAACTCCAAGCCCACACGATACATGCTAGGTTGGCGCTGGTGGCTACGTTTTAGGTTGATGTGCAGGTGGCCAAGTTCTAGGTTCATATGCCGGTGGAGAAGTTCTACACTAGGCTGAAGTGCCCACGGTGGGCACTTCACGGGCGGCCCATGGGTGACCCATGGGTGTCCCATGGGCGGTTTAGCAAAACTTGTCACAAGTGTGGGAGATTTCCCCCGGGTGGGGGACACTCAGGTTTTCGGGATATCGTTTTTTTGTGCCTACATCTGTTGAACATGTGCATGCCCCCTGGAACGTGATGTTCAGCTCACATAGGTCAGACCTGTCTCTCCCGAACAAGCACAACAACGCCCCTTCCCTACAGTCGATCGCGCCGTGTGGTCGACAAAAAAACGACCTGTACTACGTCTGTCTCAGATTTGTCAGGCTTGATCCTCCTTTCATTGAAGCTCCCATGGAAGGAAGAGGAAGCTTGCACGCAAAAGTCCAGAACATCCATGTACGTGGTAGGAAATATTTCGTACAGGGTCGATGTCAGCAGTACAGCAGTGAGTGGTGGAATGTTCCATATCTATCTTCCATCAAGGCTCCGACCGCTTCCTTCCACGGAAAGTTGGTCACTTACTTCTTCAAAAGGTGGTGTGGAAGTCGCGGAAGCCATCGAATCTACTTTCATGGATGATATTGAAGCTACCATGCACAAGGTGGTGGGCGCTTCCATAAATGTCAAATACGCGGAACATTCCGTGGAATATGAGGCCCCCACGGAAGTCCACGGAGGTTCCATAGCGCGCCACAGAAAATCCGCGGACATTCATGGGCCTCCATGGTATTCCACGGCGGAACCTACGTCTTGCCGCGGAAGCACATGGAATTCCATGGAAAGTCACACGCTCTGCCAATGAACAGCATGGACTTCCATGGATTTCCATGTAATAGTGGAATGCTCCATGGAGTTGCATGGCCGTGGAAAATTGTGGAAATTTCCGCCGCGAATTCCACGGAAGAAGTTCCTATCGAATTTTCCGTGGGTCTCCATGGAATATCCTGTGGCACTCCGTGGTTTACCGTGCCTCTCGTCCAGTTTCCATCCACCCCGTGGAAATCGTAGAAAGTTCCATGGCGGAATTCCGAGCGCCAAACCTAACAGGAACCCTACCCTTTCAACTGATTTTATCTACTACTACTCTCTGCTGCTGTACCATGTGTACAGCTTAGGTTGATGCTTCCGCGCCAACTTCGTACAAGCTATTGTGTTGTCTTAGGCGAAGAAGCTACAAGGGGTATACATGATACGTATTGCTCGTGTTGCGGCATACAGACGACAATTGGGACATACATCCTGGACAGAGGCTGCTGCTGCTGCTGTGCTCGTAAGATTTCAGTTTATTGTGTACTTCCTATATCATGAGAAAGGGTTGATTTTCGGGAGGGGATTCCACGCATAACACAACAACAGGACACCCTGCATATCAATTCTTCTGTGGAATATTCCGTGGATTATTCATGGAATTTTCAGTGGAAATCGCTGTGGAAGTTATCGTGTCATTCTCCATGTGGCAGAGTCAATGACACCCATGGAGTCCAATGTAATATACCATGTGGATCACCATAGATTACCCATCGATATCACCCGTGAAATTCATGGCCCGATCCACGGCACACCCACGAAGTTGTATGGAATATTGGCTTGTTAATGGTACATCGTGAAACTTCATGGTACACCGTGGAATATTCATGGCGTTCTACGTGAGTGACACGAGCATACGATATAGACGATTGCCACAGCATTCCATGACCATTCGTTGTGGAATACTCCTAAGCTTCATACTATAGGAACTCCCTTGGAAGCTCAATTGGCTTCCATCGCGTCCACGGAGGAGGTAGTTTGTCTTGTTGTGACGGACACCTGGCGGCACTTCCCCCGGTGGCAGCCTCATGGGGAGAAAGTGTCTTCGTTATCTACCCGTCTATCTATCAAGCTTGTCATGGCGGTTCTTGCCTGCAGGCCTCACGCAGTATGTTCTCAACAACTACAAGACGAAGTCTCCGCCGTACAATGTTACCGCGGACGATGTTTCAGCGCCTGTCCGCAGGCTCGAGGTTGAGAAAATCACGGGACACCAGTCGGTTCGAGGACGTGGCGGCGTTATCGCAGTCATGTACGAGACCCACTGGAAAGGTCTTCTGCGGCCCTCGTGGGAACGAGAAATGGACCTCCAACACTCCCGAAAACAGATTCTTCTGTATTGGGCTGGTACACCCGACCAACACCGGCAGACTAACCGTCTGTATCGTCGCATGCGCATTGGCGCAGCGGAACGTCAATTGTCTCGCATCAAAGACGAGCTGTCCTCGCCGCCTGGGTACGAATATGTTCCCCGCGATGTTTGGGCCCGCCGTTTTCGCAACACCGTGCTGCCTGTTGGCGCACACTTCTGGTACAAGGCTCAAGACGCTCTATGGTGGCTAGGGAAAATCTCTGGACACACTCCAACTACAAAGGTCTTCTTCGTTCGCTTCCTGGATGACCCTGGACCTGTCAAGATCACCCTCTCCCCTTCGCGCTACACGACAGCTTTGGGAGCTGTTTGTGGTTCTTGGTGCCTTCAGCTGCACCGAAGTAGTCCCTTCATGCGAGGTATCTTGCGCAATGTAGACGAATCGCGTGGTACGGCTGTAGATGCCTGATAGCACTGTTGCCCTTGTTTTATGTGTATGTATATGTATGTGTATATGTTTGTGTGTTACATGTTTGTGTTTACGTATGTTTGCCTGTATGTTTCTAGCTCGCCCTCTCGATCTATTTTCGAGACTGGCTATTGCTTCCGTATGTTTATAGCTCGCCTTATCGATCTATTTTCGAGACTGGCTATTGCTTCTGTATGTTTCTAGCTCGCCCTCTCGATCGATTTTTGAGACTGGCTATTGCTTCTGCATGTTTCTAGCTCGCCCTCTCGAATATTTCGAGACTGGCTATTGCTCCTTTATGCTTTCCGCTCGCCCTCTCAATCTCTTTGAGACTGGCTCTTGCTTTTGTGTTGCGTACTTTCTCGCCCCCGTTTGTCACTGCTCGGTCGGTTGTCGAAAGTTTTCGCCCCCCTTTCCCTATTTTTCAGAGCGACCTAGGTTCGTCATTAGTTGCGGTGACGCCCAAATTTGGTGCATCGTTTACCCCCCCCCCTATGGTTTGCTTTGCATATTTTGTGGTCCAACGTTCCGCCAGTGCTTCTATTGCATGCCACGGCCAACCAACGTGTTCCATCTTGATACTTTCTTTCATTTTTCTTCATGCAACTGGCCTTGACGTCCAAGTAGGATTGTTTTCCTCGCCCCACCCCGATCGCAAGCACGTTGTATCGTGACATGCGAACGTTGTTTTGGCGTTGGTTCCTGTCCTTTTCTTTGGCCGTTGTTTACGTTACCGGAAACCCCCTTTTGCAATGCTTTTCTCGATTTTGGTCGACCCTTAACGGTTTTCCGTGCCGTTTGATCATTTGCGGGCTCGGTTTTCGTTTCTTATTCTTTATGTTCACGTTTCAGCACTCGATCGCATCGTAGCCCCCCTTCCCGTAAGGTTCTGGCTTACTTGATTGCGTATTCGATCGGTTCATTCGTACGAGGTCGTTTGTGATTTTCTCTTCACGATTTCGTTACTTCGTGTTATGTTATGGTCTTTTCGGTTCGGATGTTTTGGTTATTTTTCGCACCCATGTGCCTTTTCCCGATTTTATCCGCCGAGTTTGCCGCCCCCGGCTTCTTTGTTTTCTTCTTTCTTGGTTCCGCTTCTTTGGTTTGGTTAACGGAGAGGTGCGGGTGAGGGTTTTGAGTTGTCGTATCTTTTATCCATCCCGCAACCCTCTTGATTGACTAGAGTCCCTCCGAGGTTTGCTTCTGTATCTGCATCTACGTCCACTCAGGGTGGGCTATTGTTATGGTATTTGGAGGTAGACAAGTGATCGTGGTTGATCATGGTTATTTGGCGCCGTCGGATGCTATGACGTGACGTCATGCTAGATCAGGGCTTTATGCCGAGACATGTGCCCTTCTGTTCAGTGTGTGCGTACAGGCGATCTATGATCGCGTGTGCGTGGGATATTGTGAGTTGGCTTGGAAAGCGTTAATCAAGAGAAAGAGAACAACGGAAAGCAACAACAACCTGCTACTGTGGTCGGACAAGAGAGTTCCACACAGCTCAAAGGTGATTGATTCTGAAGGAAGGGGTCAAATACCATTACAAGCTACCAACATTATCAAGTTATTATCAAGTATTAATACAACCTGACTTGTGCATGCATGTACAAGTCGTGGAAGCTTTCGTCACTTCTTCGGAAGCCGGGAAAATATATTCTTGTACCAGGTGAAAAGAACAACCTCTGGAAGCACTTCGAACAGTTTCCACCAGCTTCCAAGAGTTTCGACAGAGGCTTCCATTGCTTACATGGAACGTTCCAGGAAATATTGAAAACCATGGTAGTCTACGTACGCATATAAGCTGTCATTAGTGAGTGTGTGAGAGAGGCTTCACAGCAGCAGTTCGTTTCCGTCGAATTTATGGCTTGGACCTAAAAAGGGGGAGCGGTGAGCCGGAACAGACCTCCTCCTGCAAGTCTCCGCCACGTATAACGACACGAATGCCGCCGAGAGAACCCTTAAGCTTCCGTTATAATCATTTCCTTCATCATCGGAGAGGCGGCGGGCAGTGCCTTTGGATATGTATTACTGTGCAATTCTATACATAGCAGTTTTTAGCTCTTGCTCCGTCAAGCCGCCAACACCCACACGGGCCACACGCGTTCTGTGCTGAAACCGTCAAAACGTAGACACAGGTACTTTCTGACGCTATGAATTCAATGCTAATCTGTCTCAGACTCTTTTCTACGATAGAGATGGATTCGTTGTGTCATATTAAGAAAAAAAAAAAAGGTCGGCGACCACCAAGGACACAAGAGAACAAAACATCTCAGCCAATCAGCAGTGACAGCCGATCGGATTGGTTGGGGGTTCAGCCTGTTCGTATCTGTTTTCGTAACGGTTGCTCCATTTTTGGTTGCATGGGGATTTCGGGCCTTCATCTTTGCCACTTCTACACATTCCTCCAAAGCATCCTCCTTCGCCTCAGGTGTGTCAAAGGGTGGGCGTACCTCTCTCGTGCTGCTTGGTCTAGGATAGCCGGGTTTGTGTGAAGCTCCTCTTGAGCTGCCCTTTGGAGTTCTGTATGACACACGAACACTCGAAGATCCTCTGTGTATGGAATGCTGTAGACGCTGTAGTCTTTGCCGTGTGCCTTACTTGGCACCACGGCAGTAGAGAGCTTTTACGACAACATATTTCGTGATACGATAAGTCTACTACAATCACCCGCTCTGGACATAATTGCAGCATATCAGGGGACTTCGACTTTGGGAGTGGATGCGAGCGCAGATCTTACATAACACGATGCTGTTGCGTGTGGCTCCTTGTAAAAGCTGGTCGGATTCGGCTGCTGCAAACGGCACAGCGACGACACAATTTAACGGTACTGCTGTAGACTGCTGTAGCCATTTCACATGTAGTGCAGTATTTTCCTGGACTCAGCGCCAGCGAAGAAATGGTTCACCGAAACAGATGTGGCTTGCTTTCGAAGAGCACCTGACCAGATGACGATCTTGTTATTAGTAGTGTTTGGTCGAGGTTTGAGTTGCCGCATCATGTGCTGCCGCAGCGTCCGCCTGCTTTGTAGCTGTGGGTTGAGCTGCGGGGTGATCTCAAGAAGACCAAGTCGGTTCTTCGACCAACAAAGATATACATACCCACACAGGTGGTGGTGGAAACTGCAAGTGTACATCCGTGGCATACTCCGTTTAAACACGCCCCTTTGCCGAGCACGAAAGGCAGCCGTCGCACAGCCATCGCATGGCTACCAGACCCGCTGGTACCGACAGAGAGTGCAGCGAAAGGGACACAGCAGCAGTCTACACCAGCACGAGTATGTAGCCTTGGTGGAGCGTGCGTGCACGTCTCCCGCGGTCGCCATGTTAGTCAAAAATGTGCATCTCCTTCGTTTCAGTATCTCTAACTTGGGGCAGAGCGCAGGATGGCCTACCCTCCCGTTTGCTACTGTAGTCGGGTCTTTGGTGGTCGATATTCCCGTTGTCGACGGAGTGTACAGAACGACAGTTTCAAAAAATAATGTGCGAGTTCTTCCATTTGTATGGTCGACGATTTTTCATCACTGCTACCGCGGACGAAACACTGGTTTCCTACCTTCGAGATGTTGGGATCCTTCGTTTCGAGACACCGTCATTGCGTGCTCCTAATGGGAATGTTTATTTCTCCCTTTCTCTCTGTGGAATCTTGTTGACGTCTCTAGACTTGTCGGTCCTGCGGTACGCGTGTTGCTCGTCTCGCAGTATCGCGCGAAAGATCGGCGCCGTACACCACGTTGTGGGCTTGATTGGTATATTAACCCTTCTGTGAGGAGACCATATATATCGCGACCCGATATCGTGCTTATCAAGCAGTGGTTCTTCGCAACACGTGATGAGACTCATGCTCGCACTTCAGCCAGCTTTCGCGTAATCGTCGACGATGGTACATTTCGTGCATGAGCACACGCGCGCGGACTATGCTGCAGTATTTGGGTAAATTTGGTCGTGACGGTTACATTTTGACGATATCCAAGCTCGACAAAAACTCGCCGCATTTTGCATTCACTCTATTGTACATACAGCGCTAGTCACGTATCTTCTATCGCCGGCAACGTCATGTAGGATCCTTTTAGCGGCGCTTTCAGGCTCGCATCCTCACTCCGTATGGACAAAGAGTTCTAAGCGGTCTTCACTTTAAACTGTCGATCACTGCGACGTGACCACACGCGATGGAATCTGACCATGCGCAACGCACTTGGATTCTTGAAACACACGGATATCCGGCGGTTTCAATGAGGTCACGCCGCATTCTCCCAATTTATGTGCTCTCGTTTTCCAGCCCGTGGAAAGCCGTGCGTGCCTGCCATTATTAGGGGCATTTTGAACGAGAGACGAGCAAAAGCCTTTGATATCTATCAATCCATCTTGTCCTCACGAAGCAACACTCCTTTCTTGCTCTTCCGGCGATTCGGATAACTTCCCCCACCCTTCCGTTCGTTTGTCCGTGGGTTGATCTGTGTCCATAGGATACATACGCCATCGCCACCATGAAGATCTTCCAGGCATTAGTACTCGCTGGAGTGGCTGTACTTCAGGTAGATGCAGAAACGTGTAATGCTGACTGGAGCGCCACCTGCTCCGACGCCACCACGACCGTGGCCACGACTACCGACGACTGCACAGGCACAGCGGCCGCTTGCACGGAGGACGATTGCTGCTGTAAGTAAATCTTCTTCCTCAAGGAGTGTGTAATCCAGGGTTGGTGCCGAAGGGACGGTTCTCATCCTCGGGTTCGTGCAATACCAACGCCTGTGTGATTTGTTTGGAAAGCAGGTTCCAGAACCAATTTCGGGTACACAATATAGTCAATTTACTGTAGTGCTACTTTTATGGTATGAAGGTCTTAGGAAAATGGGTCGACACCGGCAGAGAAAGTACCGCACTCACATACTTCAACATCGTTGATCATTCCCCGCCCTCCTGATGATCACGCCTCTGTTCCCTTCGCCGGGCGTTACCTCTCTTGCTGATCGCTTACGCGTGCTCAACTTGTACGCCGGACCACCTGATTTGGTGCATCAGTGTGCCCGGACGGGTATACCGATACCAACGCTGACGCCGCGACTGTTACCTGCGCCATAGATGGTGAGCGAGTGACGTAGCCTCGACCTCTTGGAGTACAACCTGTTCCCTTGTAGGTCGTCTTGACAACCTCGCACGCTTAACGCTTGACGATGTTCGGAATCTTGAACACAAGCTTTGTACGATAGAGGTACTACCCGGTGGTCTCGCAAGCAACTCGTTCTTGATGACAGATCTGCCATATGCCCACACTTGCCTGTTGCATGGTCCTCCTCCGCCCGCTCCGCTTGATCACCAGACACGAAGTGCCTTTCGCATACCTGCACGGTGACCGACGAAGTTCAGATTCAAGATGCGGCAACCACCGCCTGCACCGACGACACGTGCACCGACGCCCAGTGCTGCGAAGCAGGTGAGTGTGGAGCGCCATGTTCGGTGCAGGCGGAGGGATTCCTATGGCTCTGTTCAAGCAGAAACCCACCCCAACCTGTGACATGCCGCACTCTTCAACCGTTCATTTCAATACCAACATACTTCCAACGTCGACGCGGTCCAAAATTCGAGTATACCCCCTCACGTTTTCGTGCTAAAGACGATGATTAGACCCCGCAACAAGCCGTCGCATCCAGAAATCGGTGGATGAACGGTCGAAACGTCCTCAAGAGTGGCTGGGAATGAGCGAGCAAGCCCAACTCCCGGTGATGCAGATGGAAACAAATGCCCTTCCCGACCCTCGCTTCAGACGGCTGAACCCCACCGTACACGTTGTTCCTGTCTTGCAGCGGCGTGCTCGGTCGCAAACGCATGCGGAGACAACCAGGATTGCGCCACTGAAGACGACAACACCGCCACGTGCACCTGCATGGACGGCTACATAGATGACAACGCCGACGGTGACGCCGCGACTGTTGTCTGCGACTTGGATGGTGAGCGAGTGACGTGGCCTCGACGTCTTGGAGTACAACCTGTTCCCTTGTAGAGCTTCTTGAAAACCTCGCACGCTTGACGATGTTCGGAATCTGACCACAAGCTTTGTACGATAGATGTACTACCCGGTGATCTCGCAAGCAACTCGTTCTTGATGACAGATCTGCCATATACCCACACTTGCCTGTTGCATGGTCCTCCTCCGCCCGCTCCGCTTGATCACTAGACACGAAGTGCCTTTCGCATACCTGCACGGTGACCGACGAAGTTCAGATTCAAGATGCGGCAACCACCGCCTGCACCGACGACACGTGCACCGACGCCCAGTGCTGCGAAGCAGGTGAGTGTGGAGCGCCATGTTCGGTGCAGGCGGAGGGATTCCGATAGCTCTGTCTTAGCAGAAACACACCCCACCCTGTGACATGCCGCACTCTTCAACCGGTCATTTCAATACCAACACACTTCCAACCCCGACGCGGCAAAATTCGAGTATACTCCCTCACGTTTTCGTGCTACAAGACGGTGATTAGACCCCGCAAAAAGCCGTCGCAGCCAGAAATCGGTGGAAGAACGGTCGAAACGACATCAAGAGTGGCTGGGAATGAGCGAGCAAGCCCACCTCCCCGGGATGCAGTTGCAAACAAATTGTAAGGCATGAAGTTCAATGTACACTTTGGAAGGTCCTTCCCGACCCTCACTACAGACGGCCAACCCCCGCCGTACACGTTGTTACTGTGTTGCAGAGGCGTGCTCGGTCGCAACCGCATGCGGAGACAACCAGGATTGCACCGCTGAAGACGACAACACCGCCACGTGCACCTGCATGGACGGCTACATAGATGACAACGCCGACGGTGACGCCGCGACTGTTGTCTGCGACTTGGATGGTGAGCGAGTCGTGTGACGTCGACGTCTTGGAATACAACCTGCTCCCTTGTGGATCTTCTTGAAAACCCGTACGCTTGACGACGTTCGGAATCTTGAACACAAGCTTTGTACGATAGATGAACGGCCCGGTGGTCTCGCAAGCAACTCGTTCTTGATGACAGATCTGCCATATGCCCCAACTTGCCTGTCGCATGTTCCCGCTCCGCCCTGTCCGTTTGATCTCTAGACACGAAGTGCCTTTCACACACCTGCACGGTGACCGACGAAGTTCAGATTCAAGACGCGGCAACCACCGCCTGCACCGACGACACGTGCACCGACGCCCAGTGCTGCGAAGCAGGCGAGTATGGAGCGCCATGTTCGGTGCAGGCGGAGGGATCCCGATAGCTCTGTCTTAGCAGAAACCCACCCCAACCTGTGACATGCCGCACTCTTCAACCGGTCATTTCAATACCAACACACTTTCCAACGCCGACGCGGCAAAATTCGAGTATACCAACTCACGTTTTCGTGCTAAAGGCGATGATTAGACCCCGCAAAAAGCCGTCGCAGCCAGAAATCGGTGGAAGAACGGTCGAAACGACATCAAGAGTGGCTGGGAATGAGCGAGCAAGCCCACCTCCCCGTGATGCAGTTGCAAACAAATTGTAAGGCATGAAGTTCAATGTACTCTTTGAAAGGTCCTTCCCGACCCTCACTACAGACGGCCAACCCCCGCCGTACACGTTGTTACTGTGTTGCAGAGGCGTGCTCGGTCGCAACCGCATGCGGAGACAACCAGGATTGCGCCACTGAAGACGACAATACCGCCACATGCACCTGCATGGACGGCTACATAGATGACAACGCCGACGGTGACGCCGCGACTGTTGTCTGCGACTTGGATGGTGAGCGAGTCGTGTGACGTCGACGTTTTGAGACTCAACCGGTGACCTTGCATGTCCTATAGACCCTGAACGTTTATCACAAGCTTTGTACGATAGATGAACGGCTCGGTGGTCTCGCAAGCAACTCGTTCTTGATGACTGCTCTGCAATTTGACCCTGTTTGTCTGTTGCATGTTGCCTCTCCGATCGGTCGATTTGCTCACTAGACTCGAAGTGCCTTTCGCACACCTGCACGGTGGACGGCGAAATTCATATTTCAGCGGCGGCAACCACCGACTGCGCCGAGGGCGGGTGCGCCGACGCCGACTGCTGCATTGCAGGTGAGTGTGGAGCACCATGTTCAGTGCAGGCGAAGGGATTCCGGTATCTCTGTCTTAGTGGAAACACACCCCACTCTGTGGCATGCCGTACGGTTCAACCCGTGATTTGAATACCAACAAACCTCGAAATCCGACGCGATCCAACACTTGAGTTTACTCCTTCATGTTTTCGTGTTGCGAGACGATGGTCGTACATCACAACAAAAGCGGTTGCAATCACAAATCGGTAGATGAACGGTTAATGTCCTCAACAGTGGCTTTGGGTGAGCTAGCAAGCCCACCTCCCGGTGATGCAGTTGAAAATGAATTGTAAGGCATGTTCAATGTACACTTGGGACTTGGGAAGGTCCTTCCCGACCCTCGCTACAGACGGCCGAACCCCACTGTACACATTGTTCCTGTCTTGCAGACCCGTGCGCGGTCGATGACGTATGCGGAGACAACCAGGATTGCGCCGTCGCCGACGACAACACCGCCTCGTGCACCTGCATGGACGGCTACGTAGATGACAACGCCGACGGCGACGCCGCGACTGTTGTCTGCGAGATGGATGGTGAGCGAGTAGTGTGACGTTGAGGTCTTGGAATTCAACCGGTGACCTTGCATATCTTCTAAACCTCGCACTCTTGACAATGTTCTGAACCTCCATCACAAACTTTGTAGGATTGATGAACGGCGTGGTGGTCTCGCTATTGATGACCGATCTATGCAATTTCCCCCCGTGTGTGCCTGTCGCATGGTCCCTCTCCGCCCGGTCGGTTTGCTGATCTCTCAAACACCTCTCGGGGTGTATCTCACCCCTAAACCACTTGCTGAACGTAACCAGGGTGACACTCGTGAAGTCGAAATATCACACATCACTCTGTTTGCAAATGGATATTCTCGACACACAACGAGGGTGGCCGTAGGCTGTGTTCGTACTTGGACGTCAGGTGCTCGTTATTTCAAGTACCTCTTGGAAAGCAGCTCACCTGTTGATGTCACTCGTCGCTGAAACTCTTCACGTTGGTCGTGCCTGGTGAACCGTGCATTGATTGTTTTTCGGGGCCGGACTGCCCTCCTAGATTTGTCATCAAACACCTTACGCGTGTGCCATCCTTGCCGACTAACATGAACTTCTTCACGCGCTCGACAAGGCTCGTGCCCTGAATCAATTTGTCCGTCGCATGTACGGGTATTCCCGATTCGAGTGTGATATCTAAAGTTGTTGCGGGTGGTCTTTGCTAACGTTACCCTTTCGTCTCTCGCCCGGCTGTTCTGCGCCCTCGACTAGGCGACGACGACGAGGACATCTGCCCCACAGAGATGGCCGCTTGCGAGGTATGGCATGCATCGAGAATTGCGCAGGTTTCCCAGAGAATGAAAGGTAGCGAGGTTGATTCACTGCTAACAACACGGCGCCGTTCCGCCCCCCTCACCGGCACACGTTCAGTCGCCACTCTAACACCCCGTCGAATAGCCTACTGCGTAAGTTCTCCTGAGGGTATGGTTGACCAAACACAAGTACAGCATAGTCGTAGAAATTCATGGCATCATGTTGGTCCAATATCCCCAACACCAACAACCGCTGTACGGGCGGGTGATAGCACACGACGAATGAACGTGTGCGATCTCTCCGATCATAAAATCTCTCCGATCATGAAATATGGAAAATAATGACACCATACCAATCCGATTTCCGGGTCCATTCGCAACCGTGAGACACATGCTCCCGCACGCCGCTATGCAGTTAAATCAGAGGAGTTGATTTCAGTAGGGATGACAGCAGTCCTCATTCGAGTTAATGCGCCTGATACAATGCTATGCCACCAAGGGAAACACGTTGGGTTTGCGAGGCATAGTTTGCACTCAGGGTGTGTGTTTGTGATAGAACCAAGTTCCACGTGGCGGTGTTCCCACTAAGGCTTCAAAAAGTACAAGGACCGAACAATCTGTTGAACATATCCTTCGTCGCGTGGTCACTGTTCTCTATGGCAAGAACATTCTCGTATTGCATGATTCTTTTTGGGCCTTGGAGCTCGTCTGGAAAGGTAGAAGATGCAATCGACCTCGAGCCACCGCGCAAAACGGAGCCGAGAGATACGTGGCTGGTTCTGCCGCTTTTTGTACTATTGCTCGTCTACCTGTTGAGGCATATACCTATCCGAATTGGTCAAACTCCTGATGCCTCCGTTCTGCGGATTTCCCAGGCTAATACCGCCTGTGCAGCCTGCATGACGGCGGGTGACGCGTACATGGAGGACGAAACCTGCGTGGTTGAAAGCGAGCTTGAGACCTGCCAGGACTATGCTGACATGTACTGTTGCTATGCTGGGGGAGAGGATGGCGAAGACGAATGCCGCACGAACTCCTTGATGTTGGCCTACACTAGTAAGTTTGTGGTTATTGGTTCACAGTTTGGGCCCTTTCCAACTACGTTGCAAGCTATCACACAACCCCTGCCAGACGGAGTAACAGGTTCTAATGTACCCGAAAAAAAGGGCACAGTCTCGTGAGAATATCATGCGTGGCAAGTGAGAATGCAGGGTATTCGCGTGCACAATGTTTGTTTGTTCGATCGTTTGGCTTCGTCGGACGCTCTAGTCTGCTGGGGATCCATTGCATGTTGTTTTTCTGCCGCGTCTTGACAGAGTGTTTGCAGCGGGCGTCATCCGGTATTCGCGAGGAGAATAGCACGCAGGCAATGACTTCATCGTGTTCACCCGCCGCCACCACGACCCATAAGGAGAAATATGACGATATTCTCGGCGCCTCCCCCCAAAACCACGTGCGTCACGTGCGCGTTTTCCAATCAGACTGCATGGTCGAGGAGTACGAGGTGGAGTCGTGCACGTTGATCGACCTATGCGACGCTTCGGCTACCGTTGCTCCCACTCCGGCTCCGGTCACCAGCGGGACGTCTAGCTTCTTTTCGCGCTCGTCACCCGGCACGGCCGTGTTCGGTGCAGTTGCTACCGGTATCGCCGGTTTCCTCTTCACCGCAGTGGAAGGACTACTGTGAACGGTCCGCGTTTCAGGGTTGAAAGCAACCCATGAAAAAAATACGTTCCCATGTAGCGCGTTGGACACGTGTTTTTAGTTGTCACGGCTTTGTGGGTATGATGACATCGAACGGCTTTTCAAGTGTACACCCAATCGACAGGCAGTCACATGAGCATTGACAGTACCTCGGCGGGCTTGGGGGCCTTGTGCGATTTCCTTCAACAGTTGCTGGAGCAGGTGGTCACGAGCGTTCGTTGCGATACTACGTACGTTACAGCACAGCCAGATGACGCAAGTCTTGGAATCTTTCATGTAGAAGTTGGAAACGCGTGTTCTCAGCGTCTCGTACTTCAGAGAAAATCATGCACGTGACGGTACGTTCTCATTCGGGGGGGGCGGGGGGGCGATTGTAGCAAGCCACTCGAATAGGGGAGGGGGTCAGACGAATCGAATCCTCCCCGTGGTCGTTTGAGTGAGAGCATTGGAGTACGCAACCTTGGATGTATAGTCAGCGATGCAGATGAATATGGTTGGTTACGATGTACGCAGTCCGTATCTCAGGCACACACTAGTATTTACATGGTGGTATAGAAGCTGTACGCCGATTTCGAGACATGCAATAGGGGGCCAACTAGGCAGGGAGGGAAGAGGGGAATTGGCGATGAGACTATTTATTTCTTGCACTACGATTTGGCAGAATCGCAAGACTTTGTGGAGAAGCGCGAGCGTCTCTCGCTGAACGAACTAGGCGTATCGTCCTGCTGCAGAGATGCCGCTGCTAGCTTCAGTTTTTGTCAGCCTAGGCCCATGAAAAATGCCATTTTTGTCACACCTTTTTCTTTCGTCTAAGCTCACCATGGAAAGACTAAAACGGGCCCAAAGAACGGACCCGACGTCGTTTTGACTGGGAACGAACCCGTTCTCACAGTGAAAGGCGGGCAATAACCCATACCTTCCACGTCGATGTCTTAAACCGACGGCCACAGTACGGTATTTTCCAAGGTTCCTCTCGGGCATTCCCGCCGTACTTTTCTCACGGAAATTCCACGGGGGGGATGGTAGTTGGTATCATCGTTACCGTGACAATTCGCAGTTACCGTACCCACCCATTCACAACGATTGCCAAGCGGAGGACCTTCTCCCACCATCCGACTCGTCACCACGGGTGGGTATGTATCATATCCCGTTGTTCGCACCCAACCGATTACCTACCGTGAAAATGTCGAATCCCGTGGTTTTTTGGTACCACACAAACAATTACCACGCATATATCTTCAACTACCAGTATTCAGTTACCAGAACCACGCGGTAATGCTACACCTATTGACCGTAGCTGAGAGGGCAGCACATAGCCTCAAGGCAAGGGTTTTCTGTTTGTATTGGACTTCTTGCCCGCTATGATGCAGATCAGCGAATTGCTTTGTGGTTTATTTAGCTCGATATATATACGCGTGCGAGCTGGTGATTTATTAGTATTTTGAATGCGTCGTCTCGCAAAACAGTGCGGTACGTTCAGTCCTCACGTAGCTCAGAAGGGTTATGATCAAGTGATTTGATATCGATTGCGAGGTGTAGCTCTGGACGTCGTTCGTTGTCTTTCGTCCTCTGTCTTTTGCCTCTCTCTCGTCTTTTGGTAAATTGGCTGCGAGTTTTGCCTGTACATAGTCTCAAAAAACAATTGCCGTGTTCTTTGGGACGCACCGTTTACTGTGTGTTACGATATGTGCTCACAGCCGAAACGAATCCTCACACAATGTTTTAGAATTGATGCTTCGCCGTGTGGGGTGTATCACCCAACCAAGCGTTAACGTGCATTACCTTGGGGGTCAGTTCCAACCCAAAGATTTCCGTGCATTACCGTGATGGCCGGTTCCCGTAAGGAAACCGTGATGGCCAGTTACCATCCAGAAACTACCGTGGGGTATTGTGTTCGTTAGTTCCCGTACCATATTTCCGTGGCTTCCGCAGCTCGACGCCTCCCATTTGCTGCCCAGTTCACCCTTCCTTTCGCCTTGTTGTCAAGCCCCTTGAATTTCATGTCCATGATTCGACGTATGGTATCGTTTGCCCTCAGATGCGACGGCAGTACGGTGGCCTTCTGCCATCCCTGGTTTCAAAGGTGGTGGGATGATGGCAATGATAGTGGGTTCAAGGGATCTTCCTGTGCCTTTTCCTTTAAACAAGATATTGGTGAGATGGAGTCTCGATTTATCAGGAGGAGTCTCTGCTTAGTATTGGGGAGAGGGTCGTGTGATCCAAATCAATGGGTGAAGGCGTTTGTTTCCTGCGCCGCGGTTACTCCTTTTTTTGGACTGTCCGGATACTGTAGAAACTTGGTAAATCGGTGCAGGTTTTTTTCTCGCTGCATGAGTGTTTTCTTTAAATTTATGTTGAAGCCCTGAGGATTAATTGTCGCAAAACGATACACACACGTGGTGTTCGAGGCGCAGATGGCGTTGGCTGTCTTCCAGGTCGTTTTTAGGGGTCTTATATCGTTCATGACTTTTGGGGTACACGAGAGAACCAAAAGTGTTTGTCGCGTTGGGTTTGTTGCCGAAATATTCACGGCAGACAGCCCTGGTGATGGCAACAAAAACAGCGAGATGGGGTGTGATCAACGAAACAGGAACCCTCACTCACAGGCAGGTAATACCATTCTCCTGGAGGCCAGACCTGACGACCACAGAAACAATGATACCAAATCCCAGCAATTCACATGTCACACCTAGTACTGAAAATGCCGGTAAACCTGTAGGAGACCGATATGACGTTCTCTACGCCCTCTGTACTTGGCATCAGCAGGAGTAGGTTAGCACTGCATTGGACGAGACCTCCTGCGAGGCAGGAATCCTCGCCGGGCATGGCTACCCACTCTGAGAGTACACTTGACGGGCATGAAAGTGCGTCGATTGCTGCTGGTAAGTAAATCATCGATAGAAACAAAGTAGGTTTCGGAATGGAAGTGTTTTTTTTAGGGTATCCACAGAAGACCTGCCGATGGAGCTACCAGCAAGCCTATCGTTATCTTTCCTCCATGCCATTCTCGTCGACGCGTAGGACGAGGGGGAGGTCTCGAAGGAATGGAAGGACGCCACCATCAAAGGTCCCTACAGCTAACGCCCGCACTTGAAAGAACTTGGTAGTTCAGAAATTGAGCCTCGAAAAGCTCAAAACCATTTAGAACTTGAGCTCCATTTATTGTGAGCTCGGTCAAGAACTCCTACACAAAAACCTATATGGTGGTCATATTCGCAGCACAAGTTCGGAAGTAAGAACCCTCGGTCAAACCTAGAGGTGCTTACGTGCGGGTGGTAACTGTACAATTGGTCGGACCAATCCAACTGGAACTGCAGAAATATAATGGGATATATCCGGAATCTCACACGCAGGCTAAGCAACCCTGAAGATCATCGCAAAACTGCCTCAGCGCCTACTGCAGACCGCAGGACATCTTGACGGACGACCAGTGCGGCTTCCGGCTGGGTAGATCCACCGCCGACTTGCAGCTCGTGGTGCACAGGCTAGAGGAGCTGGGGCGCAGGCGGAGAACTCCACTCTTGTACATGCTTCCAAGTGCTTCGTCGACCAGAAGGAAATTGACTCGTCGATGGAGAGCTGGCTGCTGTGGTTCGAGCGGAGATCCCGGAGGAAACGATTGCAGCCATCCACCAAGTCCACGACGGAATGCAAGGCAGGGTACGCATGGGCGACGGGGAGCAGTTCCACGACGGAATGCAAGGCAGGGTACGCATGGGCGACGGGGAGCTCTCTGACTGGTTCGAGGTCACCCAGGGACTTCGACAAGGACATTGCGCCAAGGGTGCCCAAGAAATTGTTTCCCCCAACGCGATGATTGGACCTCACAACAAGCCGTTGCAACTACGAATCGGTGGTTGAACGAGTGGAACGCGCTGTGGAGCTGGCTTGGAATGAGCGAGCAAGCCCACCTCCCGGTGATGCAGTTGAAAATGATTTGTAAGGCATGAAGTTCAATATACACATGGGAGGCTCTTCAAGACCCTCACTACAGACGGCCGAACCCCACCGTACATGTTGCCCCTGTCTTGAAGACCCGTGCACGGCCGCAGCCGTATGCGGAGACAACCAGGATTGCGCCACTGAAGACGACAACACCGCCACGTGCACCTGCATGGACGGCTACATAGATTACAACGCCGACGGTGACGCCGCGACTGTTGTCTGCGACTTGGATGGTGAGCGAGCCGCGTGACGTCGACGTCTTGGGACTCAACCGGTGACCTCGCATATCTTCTTAACCCCGAATGTTTATCGCAAGCTTTGTGCGATAGATGCACTACCCGGTGGCCTCGCAAGAAACTAATTCATGATGACAGATCTGAAATTTGCCCCTGTTTGTCTGTTGCATGGTCCCTCTCCGCCCGGTCGATTTTTCTCACTAGACACGAAGTGCCTTTCGCACACCTGGATGGTGGACGGCGAACGTCAGATTTCAGCGGCGGCAACCACCGACTGCGCCGGCAGCGGGTGCGCCGATGCCGACTGCTGCATAGCAGGTGGGTGTGGAACATGCAGGCGAAGGGATTCCGGTATCTCTGTCTTGGTGAAAACACACCCCACGCGGTGGCATGCCGTACGGTTCAACCGGTGATTTGAATACCAACGCACCTCCAACGCCGACGCGATTCAAAATCCGAGTATACTCCGTCACGTTTTTGTGCTACAAGACGATGACTAGACCCCGCAACAAGCCGTCACAACCAAAAATCGGTGGAAGAATGGTCGAAATGCCCTCAAGAGCGGCTTGAAATGAGAGAGCAAGCACTATTGGGCACAAATGGGCATAACACCAAGGGGAACACGCTTGGTTTGCGAGGCGTACCTTTGCACCTAGATCGATTCTGCCCTCAATCGTGGAAACGTTTGTGGCGAGAAAGAATGCAAACGGGTGGGAAAAATACACATCCTGGGGTAGATCCATGGACGGTGGTAAAGCCTTTGCTTCCGTTCAGACCACGCGGTGTGACTAGTACACCAGAA